AAACCCAAAGTCGTATGAATCATGTACGATCAAAGTTGGAGCAAGTAGTAAATGCCATACGCGGAATTGAAGATTATGCTTGAAATTATTCTAAAACAACTTCCATTCTTCTTCCCTTAATCATATTGGTTTTGTCAAACGTTTGTATTTTCATTAGTAACTTCATTATCACATAACGATTCTTTAGTTGTTCTTTGATGCAAAACGCGGTTCATGTTTCAGTCGTTAAAGGCTACTTTCCAATTAAGCTCTTTGTATGTGAATAGTTCAGGCTGAGAAAAGTTGAAACCGTTAAGTTCCTGTTTGATTTATATCTCATTCCTTGCTATATATTTTTTATAAATAATATCAAATAATACAAAATAAAAATTATTTTTGAAAGACAATGTCAAACAGGCAGTGGGATTTAACATACATTCTGTTCTTCATTCGCCTTTGTTTTTATCTATTATAAGGTTGACAGTTGCCTGTCGTTTTGCCTGATTTCTACTGTAATTTGTTTTGATTCACAATATAAATGTTCGCGCATTGATGTCTAGGTTTTTCGTTTAGCATATCGTACGACGCGCGATATACAGTATTGACTATCAAATCGTATTTTAAGTATATTGTTGATTGTTTGCCTGTTTGGACTTATTTTGACTCAGTGTTGATAATCCAAGTTTATTTTTACATCTTTGTCATTGAGCCTCGTGCATGTTTCATCGTCATAGTGGATCTGGGCAATCTGCCATATACGAAAATACAGCAAACGAGTATAGCAATTCCTTGAACTATTTAAGGCAAGACGACGATGCCGAAGGGTCGCCGAATACATCAAAGGTGGATTGCCCTGCAGAAGGAGTCAATTACATTCTTATTTTGTTAACTTTAGAGTTTAGTTTAGGCCCTGTTACACGATGCAATTTTTTGCAACTTGCAATACAACCCTACTCTTGAGAAATGTAAAATGCCAAAGTACGTGTTTTGCGTTGATATTTTTCGAATCCATATGGCATATCTTACTGATTTCAAGCAGAATTCCAAGTTGCAAGAAAAATTTCACCTTAACACGCCCTTTGTTAAATTAGTTGCGACGTGATCGTGTGACACATATTTCACAAATTTCAACGCTTTTGTAATATTTTTTTAACAATTGTACAGTATTGCCAATCCTGTTCTTATATGATATTTGGTTCAATTTGTTTTTAATGCCCGCAGCAATCCCTACCTTGCAGGTAACCTAGTTTTACTAGTAGATATAAAGAGATCTTTCCTTTCTCACTATACACTAGTATAAAAGAAAGAGATCACAAAATATCCACCGGCTAGCATTCTCGACCGAAAGGAAATCCACCTTAAGAGTAAAATACAGAATCCTTGAATTATTGCAAAAACGTAACACAAATGGCGGGCTGGGCGAGCAAGCAGTTCAATTACTGAATCAAATAATTTTATAAGATCATGTCATCAATGATGCAAAGCTACTGCAGGCAATTCTATGCCGACCTATTGACTGCCTAATAGCAAAATTAATTGCGAATATTTAAATAGATGGATCATCACTGCAAGACTTCCTACGTAATGATAAATACGACATGACGCTAAGTGCTCCAGAATGCATTAAGAATTAAGAGCTGTGTTAAGTAAAGTAGTCTATAGACTTAATCACAACTAATTGTACGCATAATTTGCACGAACACATAAATAGCTAGATCTTGTATATTTATTCTATTTCGTCATTGGTTACGTCATGACGGAATCACGTGAGATGGCGCGCGCCATTTCTAACGTCAGTGCACAAACCGTTTTCTAACGATCAGCACGTTTTTTGTACTTCGCTAAAAATAATCGATTTCTTTGCGGACCCCGTCGAGAATTATTATTATTATTTTATTATTAAAAATTTTATTTACAGACACTAGCCCCGTCAGTTACCACTGATTTCCACGGAGGGCGTCTACTTAATTACATTATGAGCGTCTACTTAATTACACTATACAAATATAAACTATATATAATATGCCGAATTAACTACTTGAATTTATGAGCCTCTTGAAACAATGAATCGATTGAGCAGACTTAGCTTCACGCGAAAGACTATTCCATAATACAGCTCCTCTATATTTAAAACTTCTTTTGAGAAACTCTTTCTTAGGTCTCGGGATTGATAGATCAGTATCGTAATGTCTCAGGTTATAACCATTTTCAATTACACTACGCTCAGAAAAGGATTCGCGAAGGCACGGAGCAGTACCGTTATTTAGGATATTATAAACGAGAACTGCTTTGTTAGTTTTATATTTAGTTTCGAGATTTTTCCATCTAAGCTGCTCCAGGAGTTCAGAGGAGCTTGTATTGTAGTCTGCCCCCGTTAACACCCGAGCAGCCCTATTTTGAAATTTTTGCAACTTTCTTTCAATAATAGACCGCAATTGTCCCAAGAGGGGAACAATAGTCAAAGTATGGTTGAATTAAAGCTTTGTAAATGGTGTGCATGGTTTCTTCAGGAACAAAGGGTTTAACTCGTCTCATTACATCTATTCCCGCGCCTACCTTTCTGCTTATTGCATTTATATGGGCTTCCCAATTAAGTTGTTCATCAATCTCGACTCCCAAACATTTAAAAGATCTATAACGGGTTACTGGTACATTTCCAAAGATCACTGACTTATTTCCTAGTTTATTTTGAATGTTATACGAAGAGCCTACAAACAAAAGTTTAGTTTTGGTAGTATGATGTTGCAATTTATTATCACTAAGCCATTTACTGATATTTTTTAAATCAGAACTCAACATATCTACTAATTCATCAAAGTTATCCGACGACGCAAAGATTTGAGTGTCGTCTGCATATATTCCAGGGGTAGTAGATTTTAGGTACTCTGGTAAGTCATTGATATACAGCAGAAACAACAGGGGACCCAGAATGGAACCTTGGGGAACTCCACTTATTATTTCTTTGCGAGTCGATATATAGCCATTCAGAAACACACCTGCTCTCGATTAGTCAAATAGGAAGCAAACCAAGCAAGTTCGGAGTGTTTTATTCCAAACTGGTTTTTCATTTTTATCAGTAGAATTTCATGATCAATTGAGTCAAAAGCTTTTCGAATATCTAAGGAAACTATACCAGTAATTTTACCCTCGTCCATATTTTCCAACCATTTATCACACATTTGAAGAAGTAGAGTTAATGTTGAGTGTTTTGGTCTAAAGCCAGATTGAAATTTTGAAATCAATAAGTTCTCTGACAGATAGTCATATAGTTGTCGAAAAATTTCTTTTTCAAATATTTTGCTAACAATTGGCAGAATGGAGATCGGACGGTAATTTTCACACTTTCTCCTATCTTCGGATTTATAGATTGGTTGGACTCGTGCTATTTTCCAATCATTGACAAATTTCCCAGTATATAATGATAGATTAAAAATGGCAGTCAGTGATGGAGCAATTATATCCGCAGATAGTTTAAGTACTTTTGCTGGAATTTTATCGAGTCCCGTAGCTTTAGAAACTTTTAGAGATTTTAGATTATTTGCAATTTGATCAATACTTAGACCTGAGAAGCAAAATGTTGAGCGGCAAGTAGAATCCTTAACATTTGTTTCGTAGGCAGCGTTACAATTTGTCACTTCAGCCGCTAGTGACGGGCCAATATTAACAAAATAGTTATTTAGTTGATTTGCAATTGAAACTCCGTCTGTAATAACACTGCCACCGATATTGAGTTCATTGACTATTGTAGATTTACTACCGTCTTTACCTAGAAGAGTATTAATTAATGACCAGCTTTTTTTAACATTTCTCTGCTGAGAGGATTCTGAAAGTTTATTATTAAAGTAGTTAGCTTTAGCTTTCCTTATTTCAGAATTCACTTTGTTTCTGATGGTTTTATACTTTTCCCAATGCGCTTCAGAGCCAAATTTTTTAGCCAATTTCTGATGGAGGTCTCTTTCCCTCATAAGTTGCTTTATGGATGCATTTACCCATGGCATTGATTTAATTTTAGTCCGCCTACTCTGAATTGGCGCATGCCTATCGAGTGTCTCTAGAAAGAATAATTTCCAAATTTGCCAGCTATCATTTGGGTCATTAAATTGGTTCACATAATCCCAGGGAACCGTATTTAAGTCTTCGAGAAACTGTCGTTCATTAAAATTTTTAAAATTTCGAAATTCCTTAAAGGCTTGTTTTTTCTTTGGAAACACCATTTTTTTGACAGCAAAATTAGGTTATGATCGGAAATCCCCAAATTAATTACTCCATAGTTAGAAATACTCTCAGGATTGTTAGCTAGAACCAAGTCAATTAAGGTTGCAGTTGTTTTAGTCACCCTAGTTGGTTCTTCTATCAGTTGTTTCAGCTGATATAACGTACATATTTAATAATGTTTGCGTGTGATTATCATATGGGGATTTACTAACGTCACAATTAAAGTCCCCTAAAGCTATTAATTCTTTATTTTCCATATCACATTTTTGAATAAAGCGTTCAAAGTCGTCAAACAAACTTATATTAGCATTCGGGGGTCTGTACCAAGAACAAACTAAGAATGGCTTGCTATATTGACGAAAAATTTCAATGCACACCATTTCAAGCGAATTTGGGACCAATTCTGTACGTTCAACACATGAAAAGCAGTTTCTAACATATAAAACGACACCCCCACCGTGTCTATTACGATCCTTTCTGAATAAATCGTATCCAGATATTTTAATTTCATGGTCTGAGACAAATTCATCGATTTTGGACTCATTGATGGCTAAGACATCAATCGGACATTTTTCCAATATTACTCGAAGCTCATCGATATGCTTCAAGAGGCTATTAACATTTAGGCTAGCTATTCGAAAACCTTTGAGATTAGCAATTTCGCTAAGAGCAGATTCAGAATTACAATTTACTATTGCCGGGTCATTCAACAAGTCATTTAGTTGATTATCGGAGGTTATTGCTGAAATGTCCGGGGAAATATCATGTCAATTAGAAAACCGTGTTGTAAGTATACTCTATTGACTATGCCAACTTCCAAGGACGTAGACGACTCGGATCGCCGCGAAGAAAGGCCAAAATCCTCTGACTCAGAGGTCGATGCCAGGGACGATGTGCTTGACAACAAGCAACCTTCAGAGGAAGAAACAGAAAAACTTCTCGAGTACGAACGTCCGAAGGAGGCGAATTTACCTAATTTGGCTGAGATTTTGCAACAAGTGTCCTCGAATATGACTCGTATGGACAAAAGAATGGACAACTTTGAAGCAGTTGTGAAAGGAAGGCGTTCTAGACGTAGGTCGTCATCAAGTGACTCCAGCTCGTCACGCTCTTCTTCCTCCTCAGGAAACGAACGGCGACACGCCAAGAAACGTAAACGCTCTAAGAGCGAAGACAGAGGCTCTCCTAGCCCTAGCGTAGACAATGACGCTGAAAAACTTATACAATCGGCCTCGAAGGACCAGCCCGCCACGGGCGATACAAAGCGCGACTCGCCAGAGGCTCAAGATGACCTTTTGAACGATATTGCGAACGAGTTTAATGCTGATGAGACGTTAGGCTCACCTCTCCCGACTCAGCTGGTGGACATTGTAAATAAACGATGGTCCGAGAAGATGTCGGACACAAAACTGAAAGACAAACTTGACAAATACGGTCGCCCGCCTAACTGTGAAAAATTGGCTGTTCCTAAAGTTAACCCAGAAATCTGGGGACAATAAGCCATGCCAAAAAACAACAAGACTTGCGACTCGCAAATGTACAACATGCCATCACTAAAGCTGGCACATCTGTGACAAAGTGTATTGAGAACTTGCTCGAGACACGCCAAAAAAGTACGCCTTTATCGGTGGACGAGCTTATTAAAACTGCCACAGATGCCCTGGCACTTTTGGGGCACGCAAACGTCGATTTGTCACTCCGCAGACGTGAATACTTACGCCCTTGTTTAAATCAAGAGTATTCTACACTCTGCTCGACGCAATATCCACCGACGAGCCTTTTGTTTGGCGACGACCTTCCGTCACGCCTAGCTAATATTAAAACAACTAATCGAATTGCTCAGTCTGTGGACGGCAGTCACTCGCGCCATTACAAGGCGCAATATGACAAAAGAGGCGCTAGATCTCAACATTCGCAACCCGCATACTCTACGGGCAAACATTTTTTATGGAAAGGCCGACGCCCAAATTACAACAACAACAGGCAGCCACAGTACAGAAAGAAAGAGCGGGAAAAACGGCCACAAAAGTGAATGACGTCATCGCAAAGCTTCAAACTTATAAACAACAGGTAACTGAGTTTGACACATTTTGTCCCATGTTGTGTGTTTATCTGGAACAGAAATTACAGTCCTTTCGAGGAGGGCAACTCAAGCACTACTATAACGAGTGGGTGAAGCTAACCTCAGACTCTGAGATACTTAATACTGTAAGTGGTTTATCCATAGACTTTGTGAACCAGCCAACTCAAAATGACTGTCCTAGACCTTACGCGCTATCGGGTTTTGAACAGTCTGTTATTGATGATGAGATTACTAAATTGCTATCTAAGGGTGTTATCACCACCTCCTGTCATGAACCAGGCGAATATTTCTCTAATGTTTTTGTTCGAAAGAAAAAAGACGGTTCTTACCGGATGATACTAAATTTAAAGGGGCTTAATAGAGATGTAGAATATCATCATTTTAAAATGGATAATATTAAAACTGTTATAAACATGATGAAGCCCAAGTGCTTTATGGCATCCATCGACATCAAGGATGCTTACTATACTGTACCCATTGCAGAGCCTGATCAAAAGTTCTTAAAATTCATATGGAAAAATACAATTTATAAATTTGTGTGTTTTCCAAATGGACTAGCAGTTTGCCCCCGTAAATTTACCAAACTTCTCAAGCCTGTATATGCAACACTTCGTGCTCAGGGGCACGAGTCATCAGCCTATATAGACGACTCTTATCTTCAAGGCGACACTTATGAGGATTGTACACACAATGTCATAGATACAGTATCTATTTTAGATACAGTAGGGTTTGTGACTCACCCTAAGAAATCAGTGTTTGTCCCAGCCCAGGAAATTGTTTTTCTTGGTTTCCTGTTGAACTCTATTACTATGACTGTAAAGCTTACCAGTGAACAAGCCTGTAAGATACAGAATGCTTGCCTAGGTCTTAAAAACTCTAATATTAAGGGTGTACCTATCAGAGAAGTGGCTAGAGTGATCGGGCTCTTGATTTCAAGCTTCCCAGGGGTCCAATTTGGCCCACTTTATTACCGACACATTGAGTGGGATAAAACTGGGTCATTGAAGGCTTCAAAAGGGAATTTTGACAAGAAGATGCATCTATCTGTCCCAGCTATAAATGAGCTGAACTGGTGGATTGCCAATGTTCAACAATCATACAGTAACATAAGTCATGGGAAACCAGATTGTGTCATTCACACAGATGCATCTATGGTGGGCTGGGGGGAGTACTTAATGAGACCTCCTGTAGTGGCTCCTGGCTACCTGCTGAAGCATCTGAACACATTAATTACCTTGAGCTTAAAGCTGTGTATCTTACTTTACAATCGTTCCAAATGAATGTTTCAGGGAAACATGTTCAACTAATGGTAGATAATACAACTGCAGTCTCGTGCATTAAAAATATGGGCACATCCCACTCCCATGCTTGCAACCAGATTACATTTGAAATATGGTGCTGGTGCATCCAACATTCTGTTTGGCTGAGCATTTTTCACATTCCAGGCATAGATAACATAGAAGCAGACAAGGCCTCAAGGCAAAATAACCACCACACAGAGTGGATGCTCTCTAAAGAGTTGTTTACCCAGAGTGTCGCTAAGCTAGGTGTCACACCCCAAATTGACCTGTTTGCATCACGCATCAATTATCAATTAAAGCCCTATATTTCCTACCACCCAGACCCTGAGGCACATGCTGTAAATGCATTTCACTTTGATTGGTCTAATGTTATTTTCTATGCCTTTCCGCCCTTTAGCATAGTTCAACAAACCCTTTGCAAAATTAGAGAGGACCAGGCAACAGGGCTTCTCATAGTTCCAAATTGGCCCACACAGACCTGGTACCCTCAGTTGTTGAGAATGCTGATACAACATCCGGTTTTACTACCAAAGGACCCATTAACCTTAACATTACCAAGCCAGCCAGAGACAGTACATCCTCTTCACCAAACTCTGACACTAATGATATGCCACTTGTCAGGGCGGTCATCACTAACCAAGGCATTTCACAAGAATGCCGAAATCATGTCGTCATGGAAGGTTGGGACCCGAAGACAGTATGGCTCTTACCTCAGGAAATGGAGCAAATTTTGTCATCAACGAGGGATTGATCCAATTTCACCACCTTTAGCAGAGGGTCTAGAGTTTCTACGACAACTATTTGATGGTGGCTTGGGTTATAGTGCAATAAACACTGCCCGCTCCGCCTTGGCTTCGGTTATTACGTTACCTGGTGGAACATCATTTGGATCTCACCCCCTGGTTTGCCGTTTGGTTAAAAGTGTATATACTAAACGACCATCCCTTCCCAAGTACAATGGGATATGGGATGTCAACCTTGTGTTATCATATCTATCTACCATTCCACTGCCAGACATCAGCCTTAAAAACTGTTCTTACAAGCTGATAATGTTACTGGCCCTACTATCCGGCCAGAGGTGCCAGACATTACACGCCCTAACGCTAGATGGAATGGTCCTCAGTTCAACAAAATGCGTTTTCACAGTTAAGTCTCTCCTCAAAACTTCCAAACCCACGAGTCACCTCAGACCAATAGAGTTACTTGAATATTCGGGGGATAAAAATATTTGCGTTGTTAGTCACCTACACCGTTATTTGAAGTTAACAGAGCCTGTCCGTTCAGATTGTAAGAAATTGTTCATAAGTTATGTCAAACCACACAATGCGGTATCCAAAGATACCATAGCCAGATGGCTGAAAGAGGTTCTACAGCAATCGGGAATCGACACATCGGTGTTTAGTGCTCATAGCACACGCTCTGCTAGCACATCGGCTGCAAAAGCAGGTCAAGTCCCGATCGAGGAGATACTAAAGGCGGCAGGATGGGCCAATACTAAGACCTTTGGGCAATATTATAACAAAACTATTATACCTAATGTTAATTACGGCGACATGCTGTTACGTTCTGTTTGTAAACCTAGCGAATAAAATTTGTTCCCAGTTGGATACTTTATCTATATACGGATATTTTATTTGCTCTCAAACCGATCACATGCTTTAAAGTCTCACGTGATTCCGTCATGACGTAACCAATGACGAAATAGAATTAGAAAATTAACCGAGCCTTACCTTAAGGTGAAGGTTGATTGAGATTCTATGAGTTCATTGGTTGTCATGATGGAATCAGGTGCCCTCCCGTTGCACCGTGGCATTAACCACTCCGATGGTCATGAATAGCATGCTGATATTGGACCCACCCGGGTATACTGTTATTTAACTATTATTGTGATCGTTATGAGATGGGACTCTCATTGTGTTTTCATGGGTAGATGTGGAGTGAACTTACTCCATTACACCTAGTATTTTTTCCTTAGGCAACATAATATCGGCGGACAATGAGAGTCCAGCTTTAAAAACTGACGTTAGAAATGGCGCGCGCCATCTCACCTGATTCCATCATGACAACCAATGAACTCATAGAATCTCAATCAACCTTCACCTTAAGGTAAGGCTCGGTTAATTTTCTAATTTACCGCAAATAAAGTTAGACTTTCAAGGGATATCCGAGAAAAGGCAGAAAATTTTTTCCAAGTTTATTAGGTTATTAGGTCACAAAACAGTGGAAAATTTAAACAAGTTTAATAAAATCTGTCAAGCTAAAAAACATTCATCACGAAAAATCACATTTTATTTTATTAAACAATTCGCATGGACAGATTTTTTACGTGTTTGTAATGAATGATTTCTGTAGCACACATGGCACATCGCCCGACGATATTTCCTACTACGCGACATCATGCCAAGTGCGCAAGTAAGCTACGAGCATGTTTAAGTAAAGTACAGGCCTATAACGACAGGTTCCTGATGCGTAGAGTGCATTAAATAAATAAGTCTGGTGTATATATCTGCCACACATGATATTGCTTAACGTAAAAAAGCAATAATTTTACACTTTCAAGAGATATCCGAACCAGCTGAAAGGTAAGGGAAATTTCAGTTTTTTAATGTAAGATTTTAAGGATCTTCGGAACAAAGGGTGGGCAACAAGAAAAGAAATAATTTATAATATTATTCGTTTTAAAAATTGGCGAATTCCCCTTATAGCAATCACTGAGCATGGCTGAGCAATTTTTAATGAATATATCGCCAGAAGACTGAATATTATTTATTTCTTTTCAAGCAAAAAATTGCGTTCTCTTGCACACTGTATACAAAGTTGACAATTCGGCGACTAAATTAGCGCCTCTCTTTTATTTTTGAATGCATTGTCCGGTGATTATCAGCGAGTGCAGACGTGTCTCGTAGAGCTCCTACAATCTAATCAAATTATATACTGAGAAGCTAATTTCCACTATGTAACTTGTACATGTGGCTATATTAAGGTGCACATTAATAATATTTCGTGATTAAAGAATATCAAAATGCCAGTTACAAGACAAACGACATATCACCCTGATGAATTTCGAGCAGACATGAAGGAAGCTATACAAAGTGAGCTGCACCAATTTTTCAAA